CCTCTTTTTTAATGTTTCTGTTCCTAATGCCGTCTGCTGTGGATATTAAAACGAGGTCAGCCAGGCCTGATGGAGAAATTACATGATTTAATGGCACCCCAGGGGAAGTTTAAATATAGCTCTGCATTACAACTGGCCTTCAACAGCACAGCATGACATGAGTTCATCCATAAACATTTAAATCCTGGATGGTATTACAGAAGTATTACAGTGAGCAAATACTATGTCTGTAAAGAAATGTCAATCTGCTTAGGTAAACACATTTGCTCATAATCAAATATTACACTATAGGGAAAACATGGGCGGGGTATAGGAAGTAGCAGTAGTGTGTGTGTGTGTGTGTGTGTGTGTGTGTGTGTGTGTGTGTGTGTGTGTGTGGTGTGTGTGTGTGTGTGTGTGTGTGTGTGTGTGTGTGTGTGTGTGTGTGTGTGTGTGTGTGTGTGTGTGTGTGTGTGTGTGTGTGTGTGTGTGTGTGTGTGTGTGTGTGTGTGTGTGTGTGTGTGTGTGATGTAGCCTGGGGTGCTGTCCCCTGCACTGCCACAAGGTGGAGGGACATCCCACATCTCTTATAGGATGCTCATTAAAACCCTTTTATTTTGAGCACTCTGGAAAGTGTTTTCATGAACACACATAAACATCCAAACACAGATATGAATGCAGGAGGCACAATAATGCATAATGAAACATATTCACTTTGCCAAGCTTGCAAAATTATTAAAAACAAGTCTATTAAAAAACTGCAAGCAGATCAAATATGGATTAGTATTCACCATGTATTTAAGGAAAGCCCCTTTTACATGAGATTCACATGAGAGCGCTGTAGATGGAGACGTCCCACTGCGCTGTGGGCTTATCCCCTTATATACACTGTTTCACCATTCATCTGTATTCAAGGTGGGAAATCTCTTTCATAGAGGCTTCAAAATCATTTTCCCCATCACATCTTAAAAAGGGAAACTGCATCTAATAATGTTAAATGGCGAGGAGAGAAGTCAGTGTGAAACCTACAAGGATCAATAACTGTTATGAAATTAAAACATCAATCAATATCAAACAGGAAGCAAAGAAATCTTCAGTCACACTGAAGAGATGAAAGATGTTCGCCGGAGTGTAAAATTGAGAATTTCCCAACAGAGATGAGCCTAATATCTTGATCCTCTTTTAATACTGAACACATTTTTTACAAAAATGTAGTTTGACTAACAAAGACAGCATGTTCAACGGCATGATAAAGTATGACTAAAAGTTGAATGCTGGAAACTTTGGATTGCAAGTCAGAATTGCCTAGATGTGCCAACCGAGTCGAAAAATGAGCCCAAAAAAAAATCATTTGTGAAGTCAAAATTAACAGCGCCATCCAGATTGACACAGCTAATGAAGGCTGACAGATGTAGGTACATGTGGTCCCTCTGGTGGAAAGTAATCCTGTAGTGAAGGCACCAGACGCTTGAAAACTCCATTCAAGTCTCCAAGCTGAGCTGAGGGCAGTGGATACCTTTAATTTACTAATACTGCGGTATGCTACCCTGCATTCAATCACTTTCTCTGTAACAGTTGGATGCAAGCCGACTATTCTGTACTGAATTCACTGTGTCCTTTTCTCTGCTTCACTCTCTGCAATACCCACAATCTCCCAGCACTCTTCTGTCAGCCTTCCTGGTTTACCCTGATGTCAGTGTCAGCCTGCACTCCCCACTCCCTCCCTCACAGGGGTCTTGAGTTATTAGACAACACCAACCCTCATCAGTTAGTGTGAAGTGAGGGCAGCTCTGAAGTGCGGATGACACGTGTCATCCCACAGGGCCTGAGTGTTTTCAGCTAAAACATCACACAATACATTCAAAGAAGGCCTGATTCATGCTTTGCAATTCAAATGAGGACTTAAGAACTGTAGACACACACGTCAATTCCTGCACAATTTCCTATCGGGGGTGGGTTTGGAGAGGAGGATGACGTCTGTCTAACGGTGAATGGTTGTGAAGGATTGAGTTTTCCTACCTATAGTGATAAAGTGTTAAAATGACATTGAAGATATTAGACAGGCTGTAAAATATGAAGCATTTGACAGTTCTTCAATCAAATGTGATTCCGGTCCAAACACACGTCAGGAGAAAAAAGCCTAAAAGTTAGTACGAAGGTAAGAAAGTATGTACATTAGTTAGTAAGTAATAGTATATATATATATCAATTATACTACATAATTAATGTAGCACTTAAAATAAATACTAAAGGCTTAAAAGTGGAAAAATAAAATGAAGAAGCTGCAACAAATAACCCTCGTTTAAGAAAAAGACAGATTAAAGCCAGCCAAGAAGAGATTCAAAAGAGGTGACTGAGTTTCTCTGCCTGCTCCCAAGATCCTGTTTGACAAATAGAGGTCAACTAATCCATCGCAAGATCCCTGATACCGACATGGTTTTTCAGGCTGCTGATTAGATCCACTGTGTTAAAGGCTAAACTGAGGGCAAGAGGGCACATTTAAATGTGGAGTACAGACCAGTATTGATGGGATCTGTACTGTAAGCCATTTGAGACTATGACAGTTGCAGTATCAGTGCTGTGCTGAGAACAGTTGAGACAATTTGTAATAAATCTAAAACAAAAGCATAGAGGTTCAAAATGACTTAAACATTGGAATTGTCTTCTTTAAGAGGATCAACACCATCTGCCTTTTTTCCGTTCCCACTCTGCCTTCCTGCATTGTCTTTGAATTCCTTACATGTATCTTTTCATCCAACCATGGCAGAGAAGATACATTCAACTTGTACATCTGACTGGAGCTACAGTATAGCCTCTAAAATCTATGAGCTAAAAACACAAGCTCCTATACAGTGAGGCTCTATTATTCATTCAAGAACTGCAAAAACCTGTTGGCAGTAAATGGTTGACATGAGGGAGGAACAGAGAGTGGATTTAAAGGGGGGGAATGTCAATGTGGGGGGTTTGGGTTCAAGATGGAGAGAGCAAGGTAAAGTGTGTGCCCTTTGTCATGGCTGCCAGCTCCATATGTGTTTTAAAAGAAGGGAATATAAAAGGTTAATAAAATCAGAGGTAAACAAGGAGTAAAAAGGGGAAACACCCATGTATATTAAAATCTCTAAGAAAAAATAACTCTGATTTTAAAAACATATTAATAAGATTAAGACACATAAAATGACCAGTTTATTGTTGGATGGAGGATCAACCAAGTGAGACTGGGGAGAAGCTTAAATAATTTCTATGTATGACTGCAAGGCCGCCCCCTCCGCCTGTCAGTATTGGCTGGATCATCAGGATTAGTCTAAGACACTGTGATCATAAAAAGTAGAGTGTGTAACAAATAGTGTCGCCTAAAGTCCTAGTCTTTCCCTAGTTCCAAACTCCATGTTCCCTTTAACATCATCACTTGCACTGTCTGCATTTCATACTCGGCAGAGAGACCAGCTATTCGAAACAGCAACGGGTCAATGTCAATGAGTAAAGAAAAACCCTCATTACACTGACTGTCACAATTGCCATTTATTCTGCACCCACAAACTAAGTGCACTGCTAGACCACTGAGTAGGCGTTGACCTTTTACAAACAATCTCTCTTGTGTTTGCCCAGAAGGGAACAATCTCAACAAGGCAGGTGGACAATAAATGTTCAACAACAGCATGCATACAGAAGTGACTTTACAAGGCTATTTTGATTTGAACTATGGCAGTATGTCGGATTTATGACACTTCAGTAAATAATCAACCAGAAAAACAAACTGCAAAGGCGGAAAATGGTGGCACCTCTCCTGTCTCTTATCACCTTTATGCTCTGCAAAAACAATGCCACAGCAGGGGGTGTAAAGTGCATCATCAGGCTGTCCTGTGATTTCACACGTCTGCTTAAAGCTGAAACTTTAAAATAATCTATTTGGATGGAAGTTATTAATAGAATGTTTGTATTACTTACTGTAAACTGAGGACATCAGTCCAGCATCTGCTTTTCCTGAGAGGCTCCCCAGATGTAGCTCAACCTCCCATCTGACCTGTGAATGCATAAAAACAAGTTCTGTATAAAATGCTACATTATATCATTATTTTAAGCTACATTTTAAGCAAATAAATCATTTCTAAACTATGTAAACTTGAAAGCAACATGTTTAAAAAATCTGTAATGTTTTTAAGGCTTATTATTGGCCATCACATGACTGGGAGCACCAAACCCTGCACATTGCTGAAGATTAATGTTGGTGTGTACTGCTACTGTATCACCACTGGGCTGACCATTCTCAAAGATAAGATAAGGTTACAATACATTAAATCTGCGAACACTTCATGAAAGCAATACGTTGTCTACACTCTCAACCATGTATAATTGTGTTGCCATCAAATTAGTTTAAACATATGCAATGCAAATTTTAAGTAAAATCAAAATACGAATATCTTAGTGTAATGATACTTTTTTTTTTTAAATCGACAATCCTACTGGAATAAGTACGGTACTTGTGTTATTCGTACTTAGTATCACAACCAAAAACAACAAGTTATGCAGGAAAAGGCACCTTTCAAGTTTCAAAAACTATTATATATTATATAATATTTTGTGTAAAGGTTAAAATAATGCATATGCTGCACTCCAATATGGTTGATGCTCTACAACCCTACACTAAGTGAGTAAATGTACTTTATTTCTTCCACATAACAGAATGGTGAGAATACATTTGGACCAAAATAAAACATTTTATTCAAATAAAAACAACATTTTAAAACCCAAACGTTTTGGTAATTTTCGCAAGTTTAATTTCCGGATAAAAGGAGAAGAAAAAAGGTCACTTTTACGTGATATCGAAACAGTCCAATAACAGAAGTGTGACTTCTGTATATTGCTGGTTAAACACAGCAACAAATACGAGGCTGAACCGAAGCAACAAAAGGAGGAAGTCACCTGTGTACATTCAGTAAAGCACACCGGTTATATTACCTGACCGTCAAACAGCGGAGGCAGTCAAAACAGCGGAGGCAGTCGCTAGTCGGCTTAAGAGGAATATGGCAAGAACTGCTGCGAACGGCCACTTAAAACCACATTTAAACCAGAATGGACTGAAACGCGAAGACATAAAGAGAAATGGCTATCACAACAAGAGAGAGGTATGTCTGTCAGCGGCTGGATTTATCTACAAACATACTTGGGCTCCAAATTATGTATTGCCCCTGCTTTAATGCATGGAGCCAGGTGTTTTACCATTTGCTTTGAGAGATATTCTTTGAATCTGAGCAAATATTATTTTCGTAGGGGCTCTTTACCGAATCGACCTCTGTGACGTAGGAAAAATGTGTAACCCATAGACTGTTCCCCATTTATAAAAGAAAACCCAACAAACCGTTATCAATATCAATACAATGCTGCTCTGTGAAAGTAGCAACAGTATGTCATTGAGTTTGTTCATCTCCGGTGCTTACGAAAACATTACCATTAGTTGGCTCGTGATATTTTGGTAACATAAAGTTATATTCATGTAGTTAAATAAATATAATTAAGAATATGATTTGCTTGCTGTTCAAATATGTTGGTTAAATATGAGAATGCTAGTTCTTACAAAAATAAAGTGAACAATTTGAATAATGAACAGACGACCCCGCCCTGAAATAGTCCTTATGCAAAAGCAGGTTTTTTTCAGGTTTCAAATACACAGTGCAGCTCACCCGCCTGGACTGCCCTGGAGGGTAAGGTGCACTGTGTATACATCTGAAACCTGCATTGCAACCTTTGCGTTATTGTGATGACAATAAGTGATATGAGTGATATGTAGGTGGTTTCTTTTGCTAATTAAACCACTTTTATTTATTTTTATTATTTATTGAGACTACTTAGCCATTTTGTAGTTAATGTTGTATCTTAAAATGTCAGTATTACAAACTAGCAATTATTCAAATATGTAGTAAAAAACTATAAGCAAATGCTCCATTTGGCCAACAAGTGCAGTTTACATTCATACGTTTTTAACTACTACTTGATACTCAAGTAATGGGTTAGACTCATAGACTGTATATATAAAGGTTAGACTAGAGAAAGTAAGCTAACGCATGATAGCATTAGTTTCGTGTAAGCTAGCTCTAATGAAACCCCATTGCAGTTAACGTTACGTTTAAAAACACAAACACTTACCACTGCTTGAAGATATATCCACAATCCTCAAAGGAAATTATGTGAAAAAATGATTTTTATTTAAAATATTCTGTTCGTTGCACATATATTTTTTTAATTCAATATTCAAGACACACTGCTTAACCAAACATAAATGGCAACCGGAAGTGATATATCACGTGTTCGTGTCAAACAACGTTCTACAAAAATATCAATGCAGGTCCCTTCATAGTTAATGGTCAATGTAGCATCATATGTATATTTCACTTTCTTTATTATGTGTTCACTTTTATACAGTATGTAGCCTTCTCGAAAGATGTCTTTATAGAGAACATGAGGAGTGGATTTTCTTGTAAAAATGCCTGTGAAAACTGTCTTAAAAACAAACAAAAAAGTTAGGCTTTAGGAAAAATATTACATTTACATCCTTTCAACAATTACACATTTTGTAAACTCGTATAGACCTACACTTTTTCCCACTTAAACATGTTGCTTACGCTATTTTAGATCTATAAGGTCTGAAAGCAAAAAATCAGCATCTACAAAATTACCCCTAGTAAAAATGTCAACAACTCAGAGCGAGAATGTTATGTGACGATTTATGTTATAATATCCCGACAGATAGTGTTCCAGTTGTCTTCATTCAGTGTTGGATAATATGTGTTTGTGACTTCTGTAATTGCGTCTCTTCTTTTATTTAGGTAAATTGGTGCGATAATTACAACCCTTCGTTTGAAATTCAGCAACATTTATTCAAACAGTATTGTTTTCTCTGGTCCTGCCTGCAATGTAAAACAGCTTATGTGTGTTTCTCTATTTGTATAGAAAAATGGCCCAGGGACTTGTGTTGCCTCCAGGCAGCACAAGCAGGAGTCCTTTGAACAGGCCCCGATGTACGTGGCTGTCATGACATACCTGGGCTTTGGCATTGTCACGCTGTTTGGCTACTTCAGGGATTTCCTCCGAGCTGTGGGCATAGAGAAGTGCCACCTTGCCCAGGAAAGAGAGGAACAGAAGGTAGGTGCAACATGCAATCAGCACAAACAGGCTTATTTCAGGCATACACACTGTAAACACCCAGGCAGTTGGAATAGAGGATCATGCCTTGGGTGTCAACACATTTTGTTCACCCCTAATTATTTCAATTGTTGCTCTTAAGCTCTCTCACTCTCTCTGCCTCCTTCCTTCATGTTCATCTGCACCATGATGTTGCCATGGGTGAGACAGGACACCACAGAGAATATATGCTGAAGACATAATTAATTCTCAGAGGATTTCAGTTATTTCTTTGTAACAGTGCTTTAGAACCAAGATAGGGCTTGAGAACTGCCACATAAAAGCCACTACAGTATGTTACCATTTTATTTATTTTTTACCCAAACATTTGCAGTTGTAAGATCATTTTGGTAGTTGTTTCTGATTTGTTCATTTTGGCTCATTGTAAAAAGCTATAACCTTATAAAAACAAAAGCTGTGACCATAATTTGCTATTATAAGATAACACATATCATCCACAGGCAGAAACACAAAAGCATTGTCTGTGAGGAATGACATTGGTGTTTGATAACAATCATGTACAGTTTAAATGAAGATGAGCTTTACTGAATGTTGGCTCTGTCGTAATGGCGCCATTTTAATTACATTTCTATAACTTCAAGTTCAACATGGCAGTACATCTGATTTCCTCTTAGCCGAAGCCACTGAGTGAAAATAGCCACGTCTTACTATAATTGAATGTGCAGAATCCTATCATTAAGGATTATTTGTGTTATGTAATGTTAGTTTTGATATGGATTGTTTGTTATAGAGCTTGGATAAGTTCTAGAGTGTGTTCAGTGTTTGAAGTTCCTGCTCTTATTGTTCCTCCACTCTGAACTCGTAATTTTTTCTCTTCTCTTTGCCTTCAGGACTTCGTGCCGCTTTATCAAGATTTCGAGAACTTCTACACTCGAAACCTGTACATGAGGGTACGTGACAACTGGAACCGTCCCATATGCAGCCTGCCAGGACCAGTCTTTGACGTGATGGAGAGGGTGTCTGATGACTATAACTGGACATTCAGGTATATATTGTACACATACTGCAGATTAGACATACTGTAGTGCTATAATCACACATGTTGCTCATATTAAGAATTTACAAATGTTTTCACATCTTATGACAGGAAAGTTAGTATTTTTTAACACAAGCATCGCTCTTCCGGGGATAGAAACTATACAAGTAGATTTAATTGTCAAACTTCTGCTCCAAGAGCTATTGAGGAGAGAAACTAAAGACAATGGCTATACTGTATGTCATGAGCAAGAATATATCAATCAGCCTTACATTTTTGGATTCAGTTGATATGCTTCTGTGGTGCACAGCGGGTACAGGGGATATATTATGAATAGGGATATGAACAGAGCCACGGGGAGGGGATATGACATTATGAATTGGGAAAGAAGGCGTGGATAACATGTTTTAAGAGGTTTAATGTGACTGGAAAAACGAAAAAATTGAGCAGTCAGCTTGTCTTCTGGTAAAGGTTGTTGAAAGGTAAGAGATATGTGAGGAAGGGTTTAATAGCCGTGTGCCAGTTTCCATGCACAGTGAGAAGAAGTAGGTCAGTTGAGTTCACCTAAAATACTTTCAAAACTATGATGCTAAAGAACAGGGAGGCCGTATATCCATGATTGAACTCTAGAGTTACATGTTATAGGGTAGTATAATGTGTTGTGAATATTTGATTATATTATGTTAAGGAAATGAGAATAACAAATGCTGCTTACACAGACTGTCACTTGCTTTTTACTTTATATAAACAGTGTTAGTGTAATTGTTCATTAACTTTTCTCCAATGACAGAACACATTTTATGATTGGCAATTATATTTAATTCCATTTTGATTACCTTTTATAAGATGAAATAAATAATGATGTGGGGTGTATATGTTAAGAAAAAAAGGAGAAGGCTATCTAATTCCATGTGTTTCCATACTTGCAGGTTTACTGGGAAGACGCTACACAATGTCATCAACATGGGCTCCTACAACTACCTCGGTTTCGCTGAGAACAACACTGATTTCATGAAAACTGTGGCAGAAAAAACTAGCCAGTACGGGGTTGGGGTTTGCAGCACAAGACAGGAAATAGGTGAGTTTGGTCTATGTGAGCTTGTGCTAGAAAAAAGGGCTTGTCCTCTTAAACATGGGGATTCATTTTATCTTGAACAAAAATGTCCTTAACTCCAAGTCAGGATTATAAGGTGTCTTTTTTTACTACATATGACAATGCTTCACATTTTTTACATGTGCATCTTTTTTTAAAGTCTCTGGCAGAGCCTGTTGACACTGAATGGGCTGAGTATTAAACTGCTCATCGCATATGCCATCATTTATTATCTTGCTTGTGAGTTATACTGCCCGCGTGTTTAATTATCTTTCAGTGGAAGCAATGTAATATGAATTATTCAACCTTTGTTGAATTATGTACCGTTTGGGCATTAGCTGAGATCATTACATACTGGTCGACACTGAGGAGTGGGGGAAATTATATCATATTGCTATGGAACATTATGAAAACCCTGGGCATTGGAGCATTATATATGTGATGGAAGTGTTAGAACAGAAAGTGGGATCTCTGGCTTCAGAGGAATTTTGAATGTTGTTTTATCCTCAGACCTTTTACCCGGGCTCTGATGGTGTTTAAGTGCCTGTGTGCGACAGGATCTCTTGTGTTGCCCATAATAATGTTTTGTTGAATCATGTGATCAACTATGTTTTTATTGGTCAAAACCTGCCACTGGGTAAACATTATGAAGCTCCCTGAAAAGGCCACTCTTAGCAAAGTTTACTTGAGGAAAGTAGTTCCTTTTCTCTGTGTCAATGATTAATTGTGGCACTTCTGACACCTGCATGCTGTATATCTACTGAGAGCAGGCTAGCAGTGAGCTGACATGCACGCTCAGAGCTGAGTGGCTGTGCAGTGTTTTATGATATCAGCAGTTTGACAAGAACAGAGAAAAGCTGAAGAATTAAAAGGGCATGTGATTGTTAGTTATACGACTGTTTGTCAGAGTGCAGAAACACCCCTACACACACGCCCACATATACATGCACACACTCGCACACATTCCTTCGCAGTCGCACCATCCATTATTCATTTATGTGATTTTTTTAAATATGTTTATTTCTCTTTTAAAATGGGACTGTTTTTCCCTGAGTTTGTAATCCATGTTTCAGATGGCTCACTGAAAGAGTTAAGGAATAACAAGCATTTCTCCCATGAGGCCTTATCAGGCATCAATTATTAAAGACCTGAGGATCTCTGTTGTAGTAGTGACGCCATCACCAGTGTTTTAGTTCACATGGAGCGATTTGTATTGGTTTTTCTATTGAATGTATCAGCAAAATAAAAATGATGGGAATATTTAACACTTTACTCACTGTAACAGTATCGAAGGAGTGGCAGACCGGGGTGGTGGTTCCCCTTTCATCAGAGGGTGTGTGCCAATTACAGAGGCATCAGAGGGTGTGTGCCAATTACAGAGGCATCACACTACTCAGCCTCCCAGGGAAAGTTGACTCTAATGGCACGTTTCCACTGCAGCGGGTAGCTCGCTTTAAGCGTGCCGAGCCGTGCGGGGCCCGTTTTTGGTTGCGTTTCCACTTGGCCTAGTTTTGGCCCGGGGCAACTTTTTCACCTTTTTTTTGGCCCGACTAAATCGTGGTTCTAGGGCCAGGAACAACCAGGCTGAGTATGCTAAACTAGAGAGAGAATTGCTGGCAAGGGGGCTACAACTACAACAAGATGAACATATTTGACCGTGAATTAATTGTAATACACGTTTCAAAATGATGCCGAAGTAACAACATACTGATACCGGTTAGTAAAAACCATGAATTAACGCTTAGACAAGTCTGCAGACAGACGGCAGGCGAAAAACCCTTTTAAAATGCGTGTTTTCTAAATGTAGCTTGGCTAAGCTAACGTTATATATGCTCCGACCGTCCACACTCACAACAACGGCCTATACAGACATAAATAAACCAGCGACTGTATTCGCCATGACACAGGCAGTCTGTGGTTTGTACTTGTTTAACTTTTGTCAAGTTTCTGAACAGATATGAAGAGCTGTGAGCTCCGAGTGCTAAGAGCTAACGGCTGTGTTGTTTTTCTGGGGCTCTCATTGAAGATGACGTCACGGCTCCGCCTACACTGCGTTACTATAGTAACTGCCCCAGTTCCTAAACTGTAATGGAAACGCAGCATTAAAGTGAGCCGGGCCTAATAAGGCCTAACCAAACCGAGCGAGGCCTGCAGTGGAAACGCGCCATAAGGTACTCGAAAGGAGGGTCAGGCCGATTGTCGAACCTCAGATTGAGGAGGAACAATGCGGATTCCGTCCTGGTTGTGGAACGACGGATCAGCTTTTTACTCTTGCAAGGATCCTGGAGGGGGCCTGGGAGTACGCTTATCCGGTCTACATGTGTTTTGTAGACTTGGAGAAGGCGTATGACCGAGTTCCCAGGGAGTTACTGTGGGAGGTGCTGCGGGAGTATGGGGTGAGGGGTCTCTACTCGGGGCCATCCAATCTCTGTACTCCCAAAGCGAGAGCTGTGTCCGGGCCCTCGGCAGTAAGTCGGACCCATTTCCGGTGAGGGTTGGCCTCCGCCAGGGCTGCGCTTTGTCACCAATCCTGTTTGTAATATACATGTGTCGGATTTCGAGTCGTGGGGGAGGGGGTCTGCAGTTCGGTGGACTAAGGATTGCACCACTGCTTTTTGCAGATGATGTGGTTCTAATGGCTTCATCGGTCTGCGACCTTCAGCACTCACTGGATCGGTTCGCAACCGAGTGTGAAGCGGCTTGGATGAGGATCAGCACCTCCAAATCTGAGGCCATGGTTCTCAGCAGGAAACTGATGGACTGTCCACTCCAAGTAGGGAATGAGTCCTTACCCCAAGTGAAGGAGTTCAAGTATCTCGGGGTCTTGTTCTCGAGTGAGGGAACAATGGAGCATGGGCCGGAGAATCGGAGCAGCGGGAGCGGTACTGCAGTCGCTTTACCGCACCATTGTGACAAAAAGGGAGCTGAGCCAGAAGGCAAAGCTCTCTGTCTACCGGGCCATTTTCGTTCCTACCCTCACCTATGGTCATGAAGGATGGGTCATGACCGAAAGAACGAGATTGCGGATACAAGCGGCCGAGATGGGTTTTCTCCGCAGGGTGGCTGGCGTCTCCCTTAGGGATAAGGTGAGAATTTCAGTCATCCGGGAGGGACTCGGAGTTGAACCGCTCCTCCTTCGCGTCGAAAGGAGCCAGTTGAGGTGGTTCGGGCACCTAGTAAGGATGCCACCTGGGCACCTCCCTAGGGAGGTGTTCCATGCACGTCCAGCTGGGAAGAGACCAAGGGGTAGACCTAGGACCAGGTGGAGGGATTATATATCTTTGCTGGCCTGGGAGCGCCTTGGGATCCCCCAGTCAGAGCTGGTTGATGTGGCCAGGGAAAAGAAAGTTTGGGGCTCTCTGCTGGAAATGCTACCCCCGCAACCCGACCACGGATAACCGGGAGAAGATGGATGGATGGATGGACTCACTGTGACTGTGCCTCTCGCATCTTAAAAGTCTAAATGTTTTTGACACTAGGTTATTTTTTCAAGTTTAATCTCATATCTTCTACATTATCTTATAATAAATTATTGTTAAGGTGTATTGGTCAACTGGTATAAATTATTTGAAAACAATGACATAGTCAGTTCAAAAGTGACCGTAAGTGCATAGAAATACAGTATGTTTGTATTGAAAAGGCATGTGAAATCAGATCAAAAGTGCACTGAAAGCACACCCTTTGATTAAACTAACATGTAAAACATTCATGGATCTGTTTTAATGGATAGCTCACTGCTCCCATTTTGCCTGCAATCATTAACACAAAGTACATTAGATAATGAAGGACAAATTACCAAGACTTATAGCTTCTGAGCACATAGTAGTAAGTATTTCACCTTAGTTTGTACGCTAATATAATGATGTCATAGTATGTTTTCATGTTTCCACTAAGCTATGGTTTTCTTGTCTGCTAAGACTCAAGTCTATGTTGGAGTTAGAAATGATTAACTCTTCAAGACTTGTTTTTTTCCCTGGCCTTGTGTCAAGCCTTTGAAGAAAAAGCTCAGTAACAGGTTAACAATTAAATAAAGACGGATTGAGTTTGAAGATTTGTAGGCACAATCTTTATTGTCTCTCCACAATAAGGCTTTCTAACCTCGGCAATTATTATACAGGTTTTTTTTTCTCAGCACACATTGAAGATGTTGATGGCAGAAAGGTGACCTTGGTAATACAGAGGTTCAAGCTTATGTACATGCATTTGACTTAAGAAGAGCTAACTCAAGTCTGCAACGTGAGTAAGATCTAAGAGGGACTCTGCTCTCTCTTAGTTCCAGACCCAGAGTAAACTGTTCTATATTGAGAGCAAATGCCGATACAGTCTGATCAAATGTGCTGCACATGCCAGCAGGGGCTGTGAGCCTGAGTGGTTGAGGAAATGTACGAATCGATTTGACTTGGATAAAAACAGCTGCTTCACTGTAGTTACTGATTGTAATTGATTATGATTACAAGGATAAGTATCCCGAAATAAAATGTTCTTTACCTCAATGTCATCACGATATCTCAAAGACGGGCTTTATTTGTGTTGTTGGTCATTGTTTTCATGTTGTCTTTTTCATAGAAGCAGATATAATTGTTTTATGGAGATCCTTTACTGACAGTTTTACTGTTGGTTTGTTTGTTTGTAGCCTTTATTTAACCAGGTGAAGCCCCTTGAGATCAAAAGATCTCTTTTTCAAGGGTGACCTGCAGGACATTAGTTACACATGTAACATAAAAACAACAGAACAACAATAAGGATGACATACAACATAATGTACAGTTTACAAACTCTATTCACAGTGACAGGTACCATGAGTATCAAACAGCATGTCACCCAGCTGAGTTTTAAAATGATGCAGGGGAACCAAAGTGCTCAGTTTTAAACATGTTTGCAGACTGTTCCAATTTAGTGGAGCTGCACAACTAAAAGCTTTCTTCCCTAAGACAGTCCTAGCACTTGGCACATTTAATAAAACAACATCATGAGATCTCAGGCAATAAGTACTTTCAATTCGTCGAGAGATCAGAGAGCAGATATAAAAAGGTAATTTACCCAACATGGCTTTGTAAATGAACATGTACCAATGACTGAGCCTCCGTACAGTTAGTGAAGGCAGACCTGCCTTGGCATACAGGGTACAGTGATGAGTAAGTGCTTTACAGTTAGTAACAAATCTCAGAGTACTGTGATAGGCGGCATCTAACTTTTCCAGGCAATGGGCAGGTGCATTCATATAGATCAAATCACCATAGTCCAGCACAGGTAAAAAGGTCACAGTGACTAGCCTTTTCCTGGCTTCAAAAGAGAAACAGGACTTGTTTCTGAAAAAGAAACCTAGTCTAACCCTCAGCTTTTTAAGTGTGTTTTTGTTATGTTAGCAATCTTATCTTTATAGTAGTTATACGCTACATCAATACAACTCATTCATTAAAGGTTGGAAGTAATTAAAGGGAGACTTTAATAATAGCTTGGATTTATAACTTTAGCTCTATACTATAAGAACTTGTAACTACAATAGTAAGTATTGTGTGTGTCACAATAAGTGAATCTATGTGATATAGTACCTACCATATAAATAACATTGACCAGAGTCAGCAGGAATAAAATGTGGTATATATATGAACCTTTCACTGCCTACCTCTCTCCCTGTAGCTCACAATTATAACAGTAATTCTTTTTTTTATACGCTGACCACAAGGGCAGTAATGAAAGTCCCTCAGAGAGACACCGACTTTTATTGCACAAAATAGAAAAACACCACGTCAGGTGACAGTTTACAACGTGATACATTTTCTAAATGTATTCTGGTCCCGCCCTGTCAAAGTGGGTAATAACCAACTGCCACATTCCAAAATGGGCTGAAGAACCATTATAGACTTTGCAAGAGTGACTCATTATAAATCTCTTGACATGTCTGGAGAGGTGCTGGCTGAGTGTGTTCTGGTAGTATTGGATATGGTTCTTTTTATTTTATAACAGGAGGCCTTTATCTCTGTCAAAGCTTATGATTGGATGCCATAAAGCAGAACATTCCAATACTGGAATTTGAATTTTACTCCCAGATAAACAAACAGGTTCATTTTCCAGTGTGAGTTATCCTTTTGTTATTTTGTCTTGTAGGTAACCTGGACATTCATGAAGAGCTGGAGCAACTTGTGGCCACTTTCCTCGGAGTGGAGTCCTCCATGACTTTTGGGATGGGTTTCGCCACCAACTCAATGAACATCCCAGCACTTGTTGGCAAGGTTTGTGATTGTACACACTAAACGCCACATGCAGGAAATCCTATTGTATGTGTGTCATTTTTAGAGCGCAGCAGAAATTAATCGAATTAGCCTAGCTTTGTTCCTTTCTCCCATCCAGGCTAAATTAATGAATAACAGTCAACTAAACTGTGCTGTTAACAACTCCTGACCCACCCCCATGAATTAAAATCATAATTAAATTACATTACAGTAGCCAGGAGGACGAAGCTCTGGGCATACATAACTGCTTTCAGTCACATAGACATGGAAAGGGAAGGGTTTGTTAAGAGCACAACTCGAGGGTATGATTATCACCCGTTCTCCGGCCTGCAAGCACACCAGCCTGGCTCACACAGACAGCCACGGGTAACCAGGGGCAACACACAGCATGGATATCTGTGATTGGACTGGACAGGAGGGAAGGGGATGTTGACTGTTTAAGTGATGAGACCGGGGCCTTTAAGCAGCTCAATAAGTGTAGCAGCGCCCAAGGCTGCCGCCCCCCCACTGTAACCCAGCAGGAGCTAGGGGTCAACCCACACTGCCAAGTCTGTCCTGCAGGGACAGGCCAGGCCGCGCTATGCGGGCAGAGCTACATTAGAGTGACAGCTGCTGGCAGACCGGGGACCGGGCCAGCTGGACCCCGGGCCAAACCGAGGGTATCTGTCACTGAGCCGGTGTCAACACACCCTCTACAAGAGTTCATTCAAACTAATGCAGTCAAATGCTTAGAGCTTCAGTCTTAAATATGCTAATGTTCTGGAGAGAGTTTCGTAGAACAGCTGAATTCATTTGCATGCTGATTTCTGTGTGACATGAAGTACTACACTCTCAATTATGAATATTGTGATGTGTCTGCGGGTCGAAACTTCGTCAGACATGAATTACATTTCCCACATGTGCAGTACATACATAGTACAGTAAGTATTATCTCACACAGAGGACATAGATATGGAGGATTATGATTGAGGCACGGATGGGAAGTGAGGACAAGGCTGAAAGGTAATTGGCTAGATGCATCCTTGAAGACCAATAACCATTGTACGGCACGTTTTGCAAGGAAACAGTACAACAAATGTAGAATTACACCAAAAACAATTGTAAGATGGGTCGCTCATACTGCAATGATTTTCATCCTGATATGGTTATACTAACTATTGTGTGTTTACAAGATATTGAATGTCTTCTGTACCCAAGAGAGAATTGTATTGGATACACTCCATGCTAATTTCATCCTCTTATAAATAATCAAGGATTACTAGTAAATTGTTAGGGTAATGTAAATACAGGAAGGTTGTGAAGTTAGTAAGACATTTTTTGATTTCAATAATACAAGAACCTGTGATTTTGCTAATTTATTTATATAATTGAAAACCTTTTTTTGTGCTGATTTCTAGGGTTGCTTGATACTGAGCGATGAGGTTAATCATACTTCTCTCATCTTGGGGGCCAGACTATCTGGAGCTACGATCCGGGTGTTCAAACACAACAGTAAGTCCAGTAACACTTTAGCTTGAAAATAGGTCATAGAGCTTCTGCCTTACAACAACATCATACACAGCATTATTTAAGCTATAGAAAATGAGATCCATGTTTTTTCAGTTTGCCAACAAGCTTGATCAATCTCCTGCCAAACAAACATTGTTGATAGCACTATGAATTTTGCCAGCCCTATATTATCTGTTCATTTCAGTTTGATTCTCTGTTCGTGCAGCCACCACTGCTCATATTATCTATTTTTTCCTCTATTCATCCTAAACTGTTGCTGCTGTGAGAAACACATTACTTTTTGTGCGGTACAGGATTTGCCTTAGGAAAGACCTACTTGACATTCTGTGTTTATAGCAGCAAATGTAAAAGCTTTAATGAAATGGTTTCAGTTTAAAGTCACGACTGCATTTCATCCATGAGCAGCAGAGCAGCAATCCCAAAGTTTAGCTTGTATGAATATGTCATCTAACTTTAAACTAAATGCTCTATTATATTGTCAAATGACATATTGTCAATAGATGGATGATATATTACATTCATTGTGCTTTCATTAGGAACATCCCCTGCGTGTCCAGGAGACAGGACAAATGAGCCAGTCCTCTGACGGCAAATGTGTCCTGACAGGTACAAGCAGAGCCAGTTATGGTTCTCCCAAGTAAATCCCGGAGGCCTTTCTCAAGGCAGAGAGCCCTCAGGCACCTGAGCAGCTAACCCTCCCTGCCTTTATAGCTCCAGCAGCACTCTTTTATTAGTACAAGGCCACTATTTACCTAGAGGGTTAAACCCAGCAACAGATAACTTAAAACATATACATGTATTGATGCAGTTCCTGTCTAAAATGTCTGACACCCCTTGCGCAAGCTTTTGAAATGTGCCAGTGCTGTATGTAAGTACCAGTGGTGTATGTTTCACATTTTAAAAGGATAGTATTCCAGAGAGTAGATAAACCGGTTTGTTCAGTCTAGCATTGAGAGGCTTGTGTGTTGTAAATACTACGCATAATTCAGGATAAAGTTGAGGGACATGCATTGTAAAGGTTTGAATTGTTAGTCTTCAAAACATGTATGAGTTTGTCTATCAAGCTTGTAAAATGTGTGCACTCGAGGGTCCATAAGGAATAAGATATTAACACATCATAGATATATCCACAACTGTATGCACGTTCCATGTGTAGGCAAATATTTACCATCCCCCTCATCACAGTAGCTGGTATCAGGCTGTTGCTTATCTCAAATCAGCGCTTAACTGTGAAATAATCTTTTCCTCATTCCTGTCTGTGCACACGAGCTATGTGGATGACTATTTTACTGTCTGGTGGGCTGAATGTTGATATTGGTAACATTAGATGCCCTCTGCTATGTTGAAGTGATTTTTTATCAGAAGGAGCATCTGTCGCCTCTCTAGCAAACCTTTTTTTGTGCTGACCCTAGATTTATCGATCATCCATGACAGATAATTAATCATGACAAGTTAACATGCTGCTCAACTGGAAATGTTGGATTGTGGTCATGCTTTGAATAATGCTGCTTTGTAAACCACAGCTATTCAATACTGCCATCTGCTGGTTTGCATCAAAACATCATTAATAATGTAACAAGGACCTGTCATAAGGCCACTGTGAAGTTATTTTGCCAATCCTTATTTTAATCAGCTGTGCAGACTGCCTTCTTAACACACCCATACTCAACTCAGTTAGTATCCTCCCTGTCGCATATAATGCAGGTGTTCATTTACATCACACTGCAGAGGAATATTTGCTTTGAGTAGTTTGTGGAAGGTGTTTCTCACTGATAAAGTATGGCCTTTCCTGCTCTGTGTGAACTGCCCTGCCCTGTGGTGACTCTACTTGCCATTGTTTGCTTTTATTTTGAGTTCCTTGCAAACTATGACTTGCAAATTGTTACACTCTATGATGTATATTTCTTGTACATATATGTAATTGTATTATACAAGCCATACTACACAGAAAATATGTTTTTTCCCTTAATGAGGTTTGAATTTAGATGTTGGGTCGTGCCGGCTTTCTGACTGTGTGTGTGTGTGTGTGTGTGTGTGTGTGTGTGTGTGTGTGTGTGTGTGTGTGTGTGTGTGTGTGTGTGTGTGTGTGTGTGTGTGTGTGTGTGTGTGTGGGTGTGTGTGTGTGTGTGTGTGTGTGTGTGTGTGTGTGTGTGTGTGTGTGTGTGTGTGTTGTGTGTGTGTGTGTGTGTGTTTGTGTGTGTGTGTGTGTGTGTGTGTGTGTGTGTGTGTGTGTGTGTGTGTGTGTGTGTGTGTACTTGTCAGACATGCACAGTCTGGAGAAGCTGCTCAGAGAGGCGGTTTGTTCGGGGCAGCCTCGGACGCACAGGCCCTGGAAAAAGATCCTCATCATGGTGGAGGGCATCTATAGGTCGGTCATCTAAACAACACACACACATTAGTGGAATCGCTCTCTAACAGACGCATATCTTATATCAGTAGAACTGTTGTATCCATCTTCTTTAGTATTGATATGCAGGTAGAAATCTTAAGTTGTAATGAGAGCTTTCATCCTGTGTTTAGCAGTCCTTGTAATGTTCTCTTTTTCAAATTGCTTCCCTCTCTACCCTTGAATAATAGAGAGTGTGTTTGTGTGTGTGTCTATGGTTTGGTACCGTTTCATTACTAGAGAGAAGAGAAAGGTATCCTGTGTCTCTCCCGGCAGTGAGCTACCCTGAGTCATGGTGACCCTCTCCATCTGCTCATTAGCTCACAATCAAGGCCAAATGGAGCCAGAGATATTGACTTGGCTACACCCCCAGATCCAACTGTTTATCACTGCCATTTTTATTTTCTTCTCCCCTCTTTTAACTCTGAATCAGGTTCCACATTTCAGCCCCATTACCTAAAAACACAACCTATTCTTTATGCTTTTATTCTTGAACATAGCCACCAGTCTGCGCTAATATAACTATTAGTTTCACAACACACCTGGTAATTTGAGAGACACTGAATAATGTAATCAGACCGGCTTTATCTGGCAATAATGTCTTTTGTCAGGCTTAAAGAAATGGTGCCTGAAAGAACTAATGCTCCATCTATCGCCGCCCTTTAACATCAAAAGGCTCAGATACAGATAGCTAAGCATGCTTAGCTATATCCTAGCCCTGCCTTTGATGTCCACATGGGCCCCGGTGAAACCCTGTCTTGTGTCATTTGGGCCGCAGACGTCCTGAGCCATGGCGAGGATAGCAGGTCTGGGATTGCTCTATTTTCTCCTGCCATACACTTGCTCATGCTCTCTGTTTGTAGCCTTAAAAGGATTGCATCAGAGGGGAGGAAGAGAGGTGGGAGTAAAGTGAAAGAGGCCAGCCGAAAGATTCTTAAAAGATTGGAGCATGTCAAGTTATGTAACATGCATTTACAGATAAAAAGGGGTCGGGGTCAGATTCTCTCCCCTTTCAAATCCAATCACTTTAAGAGTGATGTTTATAATTGATGAAATGTGTGTGTTAGTGTGTTCCTTGTGTGATTCTCGTGTTATCAGCATGGAGGGCTCATTGGTGCGACTTCCTGAGATCATCGCTCTGAAGAAGAAGTATAAAGCATATCTGTTCGTGGACGAGGCCCACAGTATCGGGGCGGTGGGGCCAACAGGGAGGGGCGTGACCGAGCTGTTCAATGTGAACCCAGCCGATGTGGACGTGATGATGGGCACCTTCACCAAGAGCTTTGGGGCGGCTGGAGGCTACATCGCAGGGAAGAAGGTTGCTATGGATTTTTTTCTTGTCTTTTTTTTGTTCACCAATTTTTCTTCTATACTGTCTTTTCCTTTATTGCTGAATTTCCCAACTGCGATGAAAAGTGTTATCTTATCTTATTATAAAGGTACATTTGTCACCAAATGTTCTTTTTAGTTTTCCCACAGAATGCTGTCTGAATCAAAACATGAGGAGAGAGAAGCAAGGGAAGGGAAAGGCATTTTTGTGCTTTACATAAAACAAGATCAAAACAGAATCACAAGGCAACATTTCAAAAGACTAATTTAGATTTAGATACATAAAATAAATATTCATCATCACAGTTTTCAGTGACATCCATAATCATGCACCTGTTGGCTCTCCACTCAGGCAGAAAAGAGCCTGGTTGCTTTGCAAAAACATTCCTCCTAGGTAAGATACATTAAAAAATACAGTGTGTAGGTGGGATTAATCACACTGAAATGATTCCAACGGCTTTTAATAAAATGCTTATCTTAGAAAGTTAAATAACTGTTCTGATTACATTGTTTCAACCTCTGTCTGTGTAAATGAACAACATTTGGTTCGGAATCAGTTTCAAACACATCATTTATTGCTATGTGTTGTGAAATATTATTTTACCCAGGTCTGATTTTAAGGATGTGTGGGACTCCATCACACCCCACCTCTCTCGTAGCTCTCATGTGTCCAACAAATGTTCCCCAGGCTGTGACTCCAGGCCTTTTTAATTCCTTTTGACTCCATTAAAAACTACACTTAAGTACATAACCGCACTAGTTTTGTGGCAGTTGATTAGAAAGCAACAGAGGAAACGGCCATGTTGCTTGAATTAGGTATTCAGAGAGGGACCCTTCCTGCCTTATGTTGGCTCAGCCCTGCTCTGCCATAATAAGAAGGTAAAGCTGGCAGAGGGCCAGCCCCTTCTTGTGGCAAGCGTCGGAACTGCGCTCCAGATTTAACAGGATGACTTTTAACAAGCATGATAATGTTTGAAGTAAGAACACTCTGCCTGCTTTGACAGCTGGCTGTAGTAAACCCCTGAAAGAGGCAGGCAGGAAAAGAGAGCCTTTAGATTTGACGTATTTGTTGTTGCGGTGAAATCACCCGAATCCTACATTAAGTGGATTCGGGTTGACCGACAAAAGACTCTGCAGATGTTTTCTGGAAAACAGTCATGTTAGAGCTATTTTATGAGAGAACCAAAAATAAATACACTTTAAGCTCCTTCTAATTCACTTCAACCTTGCGTGAAGGAGGATATTCATTAACCCTTTACTCAAAACCTGGATGGCATTATTGAGTTATGAGTCATTAGTAGTGATGTGTCGGTCGCGAACGAGCCGGAAGTGAACGACGGGAGCCGGCTCGCGTCCGCGAACGACCCTGCATTACCCTGATATTACATGTCACTGCATGCAGTGATTAGAGACTGTTGGATGCTGCTGTTTTGAGCATTGTAATATATTTATTTTCACTATGTTATTTATTTATGATTATCTTTAGGCTTAGAAAAGATTTGATGTCAGCTGTTGCTGTCTTTTTTTCTTTAGTTAATACTCAAATAGAGCCCTGCTGTTTTGTTTGGGCTTTTTCTTTTAAATACAATTTATAATGTCGATACAGTAGCCCCTTTTTTTAAATGTCTATGCTTAAGTTTTTATAGATGTTGCTATCTGCTTTGTGTAGCGTGGTTATACAAGCAAGTCAGTGCATTCATTGGGTGGTATCAGAGAGTTCCAAGGGTCTGTAAATGCAATGAAAACAATTGGCCACAGCAAATCATTTATATTAAACATGTCATTTTTGAATACTTCAGTACAAAGGATGTATTGAATCATTTAAGTGATATATGTGTACACATATAAATCATTAGTCAAAACAGGGCTACATTTGATTGAATTATAAAAGGTATATGTGGTCAAATGAAGAGCCGTTTGGGAGCTGAAAGAGCTGGCTCTTCTTGGTAAACCGAGCCAAATGATCCGGCTCACTAAAAAGAGCCGGAATTCCCATCACTAGAAATTAGGTTATTAAATACATCCGTTTAGGAATCATGTAAGTGTGTGCGATGTTCTGGCACTACTACGTCTTCTACTCTGTGGACACATACCACCACATCAGTACTGCGGCCACCTTGTGGCTTCGGAAACACTTTGAGCTGTCACTCCACGCCGCAGACGTGAGATGGATTTCGGACATGTTCTCTTAACTGGTTTATCTTGGTCGCACCAAAATCCTGCGGGGGCCCTAAAGCAGCGAAAATCCCCTGCCTTAAACAAAAACAGATGTCAGGTTGTGTCAGGGTTCTTATCCTACATTTGAGCATTTCCCCTAAAATCCCCTCCCCTCATGTGTGTGAGGAAGCCGCAGCCGCCGCCCAGTGGGGACAGATGGCTGTGAGTGGAAATGGTGGCCAGACAGCCACTGAGCAGCAGCCCATCACAGCTCAGGCTCCCCTCCCAGCCTCAGACCACTTACTGTACACACACGTGCTCTGGGGACCCAAGGCCCAATCAGCTTCCTGAATCCTGCTCCTCTCTTGACAACCACTAGCAGAATTAATCTCCTGCTGACATTTAGGAATAATGAGCACGGCAGTCCTCATTCTGGCTCATCTCAGCGTCGGTTCTTTCTCAAATGAGTGTTCTGGCTACCACAGAGGGGAGAGCGGGAAAGGCTCCAGAGCTTCTTTACAGCCAACGCCAAGACAGTCATAAACACAGAGAACTGACTCGAGGTATTTTAATTGATTTTCAGGTGTTGACTGACTATACATGAGCTCGCTCTAGTGGCGCTATTTGCAGGGCCACACTTCTGGTTATATAGCATCTGAAATGAGCAGTGTATTTCTGTAAAGACATATAAATGTTTTTTTCCTAATGTTTTCTATATTGTGTGTCCTATGTTGCAGGAGCTGGTGGACTACCTACGCTGTCAGTCCCACAGTGCAGTATACGCCACTTCCTTGTCCCCTCCTGTCACCGAGCAGATCATACGTGCCATGAAGTGCATCATGGGAAATAACGGGAGCACAGAGGGTGAGTGTCTGAGTTCATTGCGGCTCTCTCCTGTGAACGTCACCCTCAATTTCTCATTCCCTCATTATCCACATGCTCGTCAAACCTAATGTTCTTCACACAGACAAATATTATGTCTGGCTTATAACATTCTTTACACCTTAATATCTTTTTTTTATGGAAACAAAAGCAAACCAAATCCAGAGGACGGTACCAATGGACACATTACGAATATGGCCAGACCTGCAGGAAAAGACAAACAGCTGCTTGGTCAAAAAACGTGGAAGCAATTACAGGGGTCTGCTGTGGTAGGGAGAGGGGGGGGAAGTGCAGTCACTGAGCGCACGTGACCCTACCGTGGAGGAAATCATTTTCATCTGTGTGTTGTGAGAAATACTGTACCTCTGAGAAGTTTCTGCTGTAATGGCATCTGACACTGGGCAGGGAAGTTATTACCAGAGCAGTCACATTACTGCCACAGCAACTCTTCTGAAGTTATTGTAGTTCATGTAGGAATCGAGTCTTCTCTTCTAATGCTGCATTCACATGAATAGCGGAAAAATTGCTTTACGTTCCCCTTGTGTTTCTATCGAGAAATCTTCGCCGAGTGCTGCGCACAAAGTTTAAATTATTTCAACTTTGACCTCATTACTACTGACCTTTTGACGGGCAACCAATCAGATCACAGCTGTATGTAGCAGCGCAAGCTAGCAGTGGAGGTAACCATAGAAACAATTATAACTAGCTATTTTACTTCAAGGGTCTTTGCTCAGTTTTGTGCTAAGCAAAGAGAAAATCGCGTATCATGTCCATCCAAAAACCTTTTTTTAAATATAGATATTGCTGCTAATGGCCTGTAATCGTTAAAACTCAGTCAGTTGTGTCAATCAATTCTTTTTTTTAAACCGCAAAAAACACCAGTTATATAGAGTTATTTTTCTTTTACAATTACACTTTTTAGATTGGCAAGTTTCTGAGGCAGCAACTCTCTCTTTGTATAACTTTTTATATTAAAGTAGCGAAGAACCATGATTAGAAATGATACAACATGTCTGTTTTATGCTGCTGTAATGGGTTAATCACTGTTGTCCTACAGTTGAGGTGCATGGCAGCTTCATGCAGAGATGAGTAACTTTCTCATCTGGCTCTGAACCAGACATGCTTTACCTCTGACGTAGCCCAGCAAAAAAGCTGTTGTTGAAAAAGAAGTCTTGACCTGTCTTCTAGAGGACAGGGAACACAGCAAACAGTGCAACTCAAACATCCGTCACATCACTACGCTTGAGACGTTTTTATTCCTCTTTCTCTCCGTCCTCTCTGCCCCCCCTCGTCTTTCTCGCTGATGTTGAATTTCACACTTTGAAGCAAACAGCTCTGAAACAAGAAAAAACCCTGACTGACAGCAACATCCACACATTCTCACCTACTCATACAATTTCTGAGTCTGGCAGTAGGTTTTTGACCTCCATGCCCTCTATTCAAGCAGAGAGGAACAATTTACAAAATGGGGCCCATGCTTTCTTGGCAGATGCCTGAATGTTGTGTTTTTTCCCTTCCTCTCGCTCTCTCTGCTGAGATAAGGGGATTTAAAGTGCTCTCTTACAACCCCATAAAATAACTGCCAATCTGTTCCCAGGTAGTCAGTGGGAAACAGAGCTGTGTTCCAAGTCTGAGCCATGCTAAACTCTGCTTCAGCCACATAGCACCAGCCCCCTCCGTGATTCACATCATTTGGAAACACGGGGGGTTATCAGGGCAGCTCGCCTCGCCTGCCTTTGATGTGTTTTACAATACATTGACCTGAAATACATGTGATACCTCAGGATAATTTGTATTTTCTTTCAATCATGGCTATATTCCAGTGGCAGTCCACAGTGACTCGTTTTGTGTGAAATTCATCGTATCCAATTTGCAAATCATCATTTTGCCGCATACCATGCCGTCAGATAGACAAAACTGAACCATCTGCTGCCGCGACTGAGTTCTAATTATGAGTTCATAGTGGAGGCTGGAATGGCCCAGACGGAGGTGCATGACTCAGGATGAGATGGCACCGTGGAGACTATGTTAGCTCCTACTGACAGGTGATGTCCCTTACTGCAGGGGAAAGTGGAAGAAAATTACATATTCACATACATCTGGTGGTTTCTTTGTTTTAATCAGGCATTAGAAGGATCCGCCAACTGGCAGAGAACACCAAATACTTCAGGGCCAGGCTGAAGGAGATGGGCTTCATCATCTACGGCCATGAAGACTCACCTGTGGTCCCAATCCTGCTCTACATGCCCGGCAAAGTGGTGTAAGTACATTCACCAAAAACACTCGGAGAGTAAGATTATCGGGATGTCCGTTCCATTTTGCAGGAGCTAATTTGAACCAGTAAACATTAGCTCACCGTGTATCATCTCTGAGGGATGTGGATGGCAGCCGTACACTGCAGAGTTTCCATGAATCAGTGTAGGGTTCTGTAACCACTTAAGAGGCCACATCGGGTATTGATTAGGTATAAAACGCAGGGTGGTTTGAGCCACTCAGGTATAATAAATTGGGTATAAAGTGTCTTTCAATGCCAGTCACCATTTAATAATCACGAGAAGGCCAATAATTGCTATAATGAGTAGCTTCTGGATTTAAATTGCAACGTTTTTATTGGCATTAATGTTGATTGGGAATAAATAGTTTATTTTCACCAGTATTACCCTTAAATATTATTTTGGGAAACAGACATTTCTTAAACAATTACACTGTTGATTTGGGGTATTTTAGAATTGTATAAAACAACAACTTTCGTATTGTAAAAGCACTGACATGGGTTTATGAGACATTTCAGTATCTAGCTACTCTACTATATAAGGGAATCTACTTCCTGTCATTTAGATTGTCTTATTGATATGTAGTAGATATAAAGATGCTGATGTGAGATGAGGTTCTGCACAAGCATCTGTACAAAGCACTGCATTCACATCAAGAATCATCTACAAAACTGTCAAAGTGTGTGGTGTCAGTTTCAGTTCATCCTTTTTAGAGCACATTTCACGGTTTGAATTCTCCAAACTGTCCACAAAATGAAGTGGTATTGCTTCTTGGACTCATTAAAATAAAAGTCGTCAGAAATATGCTGATCCTGGCCCTTAAACTTTGTTATTTATGTGTTCCTTTAAAATGATAGCTACCACACATCCCAACTGCATAACTGAGGACTATGAGCGGCTAGAAGAAGCGACATTCCTCATAGTTTTCAATATCATAAGTCAAAGAGGCAATTACTCATTCATTCTGAGGTGGCTTGTTGGCCGACTGCATATTTTGAGGACTTCAAACCTTTAAAATGTTAGGAATGTGATAAGTTAGTAAGTATTTGGTAGATGATAAATGTCCATTTTGACCTGACTCCGTTCTTTGGTCAAATGCTCTCTATAAGCAAAGCAGGATATAAATCACAAAAGACATAAACAAAAGAAACAATCATCATGCTATATGTGTAATGGGAAATTAGGAAAAGTATAATTCAGTCATTTTAATCAAAACAGTTAACAGCGTTTACCTAAGTTAGATAAATACTTAGTCAAAACCTTGTCATCAACAATCATTTTGCGAACTCACCTTTGTATACAATAAAAATATATTAAAATGTATGTTTTTTTTGTTTGCTTTTTGACCAGGGCTTTTGCTCGAGAAATGCTGGAGAGGAAAATTGGTGTAGTTGTCGTTGGATTTCCAGCCACGCCGATCACAGAGGCCCGAGCTCGCTTCTGTCTGTCTGCAGCGCACACCAGAGAAATGCTGAACCAGGTGCACTAACATTTCTGAGGCTTAGGCGTTGTTTTACCTGAATCAAACATACACACATGTTCTGAGACTCTTCCTCTGTCCTCAGGTGCTGCACCACATGAACGAGGTGGGAGACCTCTTCTGCCTGAAGTTCTCACGACGGAAGCATTCGTCCCGTCCTGACCTCCATGATGAGACAGGGCTGGAGCTGAGCAGCTGATATGACCTTTGACACCTTCATTTCACAGTGTCAAGACGAAGTCTAAGTGCCCACGCAACAGCAGAGTAACACCCATGTCTCACGGCAGAACAAGGGCCAAATGTTAAGCATCTGCCTATGTTGGTTAAACATTGTGATCTAACAGAACATTTATTTGTGCTTCTTAACATGGTACCCTATATGAACTATTGAAATACCTTATTTACTAATATATGTATATTTGAAAACAAATGTTCGCACATCCATTGCTGGATTGGTCTCAGGTATGGTGTAAAATATTTAGAGTTATTAGCTTTTTATATTGAGACAAAAAACATATGGTTAGTTCAATATATTTCAGAGGCTCTTTTTACACATTTTTCTCCCGTCTATATTAAGACGTTACACTTTTTATGGAAGCATTTTTTGCTTCTCATAACTCAACATCATGGTGGTTATTATTTAAAAGATGATGTAAGGAGTCATTTTCTTACCTAACATGAAGTAATAGGTATTGAAATTGGAAAAGGCATTTGTGACTTGAAATTTCCCATGTGGTCTACTTCTGCTGATTTCTATTTGTCCTAATAAAACACAAATACTGCACATAAAAACTTCCTGAATGTGTTTTGGAAACGGAAAGGTTGATTCATTATGCGGATGTTCCTGAACCTTCCCTTTTATACTGTTTTAAATGCCAGACATATGACTGTTTACACTAAACAAGGCTGAACTGATTTAGAAAAATATGAGGAATATAAAAACTTTTACACCACTTTCATCTCCACAGTAAATGATAACCTTCCTGTAAATAATAGATCATGCAGCAATTACTTAACTACTGAGTTAAATCTTAAAAACAAAGGTGTTATGGCCTGTTTTGTGGCGAGACTGCACATATTCACAGAGTCTTAACAGCCTAATTGTTGATGTTTTAAAGACCGGCTGTGCTCTTTCATACAGACTGAGTAACAGTTGTGAAGGTAAGCATGCAGAGTATGCAGCACCTGAGCCAACAGAAACCTAACCTAGCAATTAGCCCTGAACTCTAAATTCTCGTGGTATGGGGTAATAATTTGATTATCACAGGAAGGCTTAGATGGATGATAAATGTGTTTTCACAATGTGTCAGATTGGGTCTAGTCGACACTTGTTTTCCCTCGGGACATTACCATGTTTGTGATTTTTTTTTTCCTTCCCATAAACAACATAGTGATGACACAATGTGGAATTATAATGCAATATGCAATCCTTGGGGGAAAATAGACATAGAACAGATATTTTCCTTTTAAAGGATAAAACCATGACGCTCCACGCTAGACCACTCCGTGCTGTAAGTGAATATTCACATCTGGCTTCTATAGCCAGAAACAATAGAAAACAGTTTTATTAATCCTCCAATCTGTGATGTCATCCCAATGTACTGTTCCATAAAGATCTGGAGGAGATGGGAAAAGGTGGCCTCCTAATGTTGCATTGAAGTCCTCGGGATGTCTGGTATTCATTTGTGTTTACTTTCACCTTTAGTCTAAATGCAGACATTCCGAAATTCATTGCGAGTTTACAGCAGAAGACAGATGTGTGTAAAGAGAAACTTAAAAGCTTGAATTCATACTCGGACAAAACTCAGTGCGTCACAGACATGCAGTGCTCAAATACTAAGCTACACTGTGATTATGCAGGAAGGCAAACTTTAACTTGTTGAGATTTAGCAGCAACATTTTTGTTCAAACGCAGAGCAGAAAGAATGCTTGTTCTGGGATTGCAATATTTTAGAATGAAATTATGCCAGAGGAAATTATCATATGGGTCGCTTTAAAAAAAAAAAAAAAAAGTATTTGCTTCAGTCAGTATTTAACATGTTTTTTAGTACTTTTGTATGATTCAGCTAATGAAAGCTTTATATAAATAAGAATAATGTAATGACCCTTAACATGTGTGTATCATTGTTACCTTTCGAGAGAAAAGCAGACAGAACTGACATATTTGGTCATATATATCTGTAACAGACTCTTCATCCATTACACGCTCTCAGTTCAACTGTTTCTTTTGTATTTATATTTTTGACTTATTATTTTTAAAACGACTTGACAAAAAAACAATAGAAAAATATAGAAGTTACAGAGACAACAAGTTATATATATTAGAAATAAGAATGTATTAGAAAGACTGGCAAACACAATTTAAAATGTTCCTCTCATTACAATGATCTGCTGCATGATTAACGATACTAATGACACCTTGAATAGACAAACTCCACAGGTGTCAATCTAGCCTACGAAGCAAAGTGACAGAGTACGGTCATTCAGTTTGACTTTCAGGAAAGGTGGGAAGCTCGTGTGCTGCCAAACTTCCCTCCAGTCACTTCTAACTGCCCTCAGCTTCAACAGAAGTGGCAAATGGTCTGCGCTGGCATTCGAAACATCTGTGCAGCCTGACTACTGAAGGCAGGGCCCCAGAGACCTGCCTGCACCAGCCCCTTTTGAACTGCAGATCCAAATACACTGCACTTATTGGAATGGCATGTAGCTGCTATTCTGAAGGGGGATCCTCTGCTACGCCTTTGATGTCCACCACTGTGTCCAAAGCAGGCAAGCCATTCTCTCAGCTCTCTGTTTTCCATTTAGACAAGAGATTTTTCTATTCTGGAAAGGGATTTTTGAAGTGAAGCAGACAAAGAGCAGATTTACATGGTTTAGACAGCTATGCTGGACTATGAGTAAGACTGCAGTAAAGCTGTATGGGAACCACTTGAGCATAATGAAGTGGGCCGGGGTGGTGTGTTTCATTAATGCAGATGACAATTAAGTGCATTTTCTTTAGATTTATTCAGATGTTTGATCTTATCAGTTATTTGTGACATAGTTCAGTTTATTTGTGATGTATGGGAATATGGTACTGGATGAAATATGATATTTGGGTGATATCAGTGATCAAAGATGTTGCATTGCAACAGGGCATTGCTCATTTCTGCACATCATTATCTGCTGCCAGTTACTCCGCTGGCATTCTTAAGGATAATAAGTTAGCTGCCACTCAGACCAGATGTACTCACTGAGCACACATGGGCATCAGATGTACATTGGAGGTATAACAAACTGAAGTCAGTTCTGAGCATGAGTTTACCAAAAGTCTCAGAATCACCCCTTAAGACTCATGACAACCAGAGCTGTAAAACAAATATATGACCCTTTGTCGAGATTTATGCTTGTATTCAATACATTTAAAACAGTATTATTTAAGAATAAGTTCAATCATGTTTAAGTGTACTTGTTTTTTTCATGTTAATATGTAACAGTAGTGTAATTTGGGGGACGTTTTGGCTCTGCTGTTCCACTGCCTTGAGCTGTGCATGCGTTACGCGCCATTTGGCACCACCATCAAGGATAATGTCTGCATAGAAAGGAAACAAAACAATATACGTTTAAATGGTTTTATGAAAGCTGTTACCACACTGTCAAACAATCCATAACAGTAATGAGATCGTGTTCGTCATCGTCAGTAACATTATTGTTCCACTTGTGCCCAAACTGAATGTGTCGACTTCAAAGGTGACAAACGACATAGATGCACCGCGGTCTCCCCTGTGCCTCCGGGGCTCAGTGAACTGTCACCCATGCTGGAGCAGCAGCATCCCCGCTTGGTGCATAATTTGACACAGCGACCTGTCCTTTGAAGCGGACAATAAAAAGTATCACAAGGGCTAATCACATTACGCACCATTTGTCTCGCTTAAGCGAAGTGTTTCAGCACCTTCCATATGAGCGTTTTAATCAAAGCCTGGGACGAGGCTGCTGCAGCACACATGTCCACAGGAGAGGCAGACCTCCTGTCACGCGCCTCCGGGTCTCTTTCCCCGCGCTGTGACGCGCCTGTGAGTCCAGTGCGCCTCCGGGGACCACCAAGGATACTTTAGGATGTTTCATGTGCCTGTGTAGAGGCTTTTTTGTTATGAAAAAAAGGGTGTTTGGATAACGTAATCACTATAAATATACGTGATTGAATGCGTATTGAAATGTCCCCCAATAACACGAGGAAGTTTTGTCCATCTGGATATGTACTTTTTGTAAATTGTAATTTGTGTAATTGCTATCATGAATATTTCATGCATGCCTATTTATTAATGTTTCCTCTTTGCTCTGCACTTTTGCTGTAACAATGTTCATTTCCCCATTGTGGGACTAATTGTTCTAGTTCTTATTCTGTACACTCTGCCAAGATATTTTGTAGATTTTAAACATATCAGCTTGGTCCTATAACTATGAATGATTTATAGTAATCACATCTGTATGCTGGAAAATAAGCTTTATGTGACTTTTGGTTGTATCCAAACAAGAATATGGTGTTAAACCTGGCCGGACAAACGTGTGGGGAGGAGAGGGGCGAAAGAGTTAACCAGGGGGAGGGCGCCTGTACAGGGGCGTATGGTATAAAACCACCTCAAGAGCGCACATCAACAACAGCGTGTGTTTTAGTAAGCCGTAGTTTGCTATGGTTTGACTTTTTTCCTCCAACAGGACTCGTTAGAGACGCACGCCAGCCCGTGTCTTCATTTAGGTTGGCTCCATCCGCAGCATAATGTATGAATGCTGTTTCTGAAGAGGACAGAACTCCACCTAACTGGGAAGATATATTTAACTACCTGCACTCTTTTCTCTAAAGGTAGTGTCGTCGAATAACATAGGAAAGCGCACAATGAGGACACATCAAGAAATGCGCAAAGTGGCTGGAGAGGAAGTGAGGAAAAGTGAAGTGTGAGGCTGAGAATGTGGCGGGGACACCACGGGGCAACTGGGCTGCAAGTTTCCTGAGCTTTGGAGATCTGACGAGGGAGCAACAAGAGGGAAACGTGTTAGTGCTGCGCGCAGGACCAGCCCTGCAGTACTCCTGGCATATCAGTGCAATACCTTATATACTATATTTAGATGAAAGTATAGGAACAATCAGTAAAAGAAGATCAATCTTGATTCAAGACAAGTTTAAAATCCAACTGGATCCAAATTAGTCTTCAATATACTACTTCCAGAAGTATTCGACTGCCCCCTCCTCCGAACCTTTTCCCTTCAATTTTGCAATTCTGATTCCCGAAGTGGCTCCGAAGTGGTGTTGCGGCTCCTCGTCCCCGGCGGATCCGGAGATTGGGGTCTCTGCACCGGGAGGAGGCGGAGTGGGAGCTCCGGCCACACCGCAGGCTCCTAAGAGCGGCCGCGTCAAAAGGATGGTGCGTCTGGCGGCGGAACTGCTGCTCCTCCTCGGACTACTTCTCCTCACCTTGCACATCACGGTACTGCGGAGCAGCCCGCTGCCACAGGGAAACGAGACTCTGAGCCTGGATCAGGACACAGCACTTACAGAGGTGAGGAAAACTGATAGTGTAGGCCTAGTGCTTAGATGGAAGATTTCTTTAGGGGATTTTGATACAAAAGAGGATATCCAAGGGGGCTCATTGGGTCACAGATGGGTTTGATAAAGGCGCATTGGAGCCCAGGTAAACTATAGCCTCCATTCCCCGGGAACTATGTGAGTCTCTTGTTGACATAGCCTATACGATTGTGGTCTCCCTGGGGTGTCCCCCGGGAATGGCAGGGAGCCAGCAGAGGGATGGGAGATGAGG